ATATGTCACTCTCACAAGACTAGAGATAGCCTACTCCGTTAATCAACTTTGTCAGCATATGTACACCCCTACAACAACTCACTAGATTGTAGCAAAGCGAGTCCTTCACTATCTCAAACATACCTCACAGCATGGTCTTCATTATATGCCCAGCTCATTTCATCTTCAGGCTTTTGTGATTCGGATTGGACTGGGAATCCTGATGACCGGAGATCCACCAGTGGATATGGCATCTTTTTGGGTGATAATCTTGTTTCCTAGTCTTCAAAGAAGCAGCTTGTGGTATCTAACTCCAGCACTAAGGCCGAATATCGCGCTATGGCCATTGCTACTGCTAAATTGTTTTGGTTATGCATGGTACTTCGTGATCTTAATGTCACTCTCTGCACTGCTCCAGTCTGGTGGTGTGACAATGAAAGTGCTATAGCTCTAGCTTCCAACCCTGTGTTTCACGCTCGGACAAAACACATTGAAACTGATTATCACTATGTTCGTGAAAAGGTAACAATTGGTGATCTTGAACTTCGCTACATCAACAACACGGAAAAGATTGCAGATATCTTCACCAAAGGTCACACTATTGCTCGGTTTCTCTATCTCAAGTCCAAACTGCGTGTCTCACCTCCTCTCTGTTTGTGTGCGGGGGGGGGGGGGGGGGGGTGAGGTNGGGGGGGGGGGGGGGGGGGGGGGGGGGGGGGGGGGGGGGGGGGGGGGGGGGGGGGGGGGGGGGGGGGGGGGGGGGGGGGGGGGGGGGGGGGGGGGGGGGGGGGGGGGGGGGGGGGGGGGGGGGGGGGGGGGGGGGGGGGGGGGGGGGGGGGGGGGGGGGGGGGGGGGGGGGGGGGGGGGGGGGGGGGGGGGGGGGGGGGGGGGGGGGGGGGGGGGGGGGGGGGGGGGGGGGGGGGGGGGGGGGGGGGGGGGGGGGGGGGGGGGGGGGGGGGGGGGGGGGGGGGGGGGGGGGGGGGGGGGGGGGGGGGGGGGGGGGGGGGGGGGGGGGGGGGGGGGGGGGGGGGGGGGGGGGGGGGGGGGGGGGGGGGGGGGGGGGGGGGGGGGGGGGGGGGGGGGGGGGGGGGGGGGGGGGGGGGGGGGGGGGGGGGGGGAGGGGATGTTAGAGATATTGCATAATCCTCTACCACAATTCATACTGATTCTCTGGATCCTCCAGACAATACTTGACTAATTTAGAATTCCTTTGTACTGTAATTTAGGATGCCTTAGTGGATATAAGTAACAGATTTGTACAACTCTTGTACAACTAGTTTTCTATACTTAAATGTACTGAATATCTCTATATAATGAAATTAATCAAAGGGCTCGGTATGATTTTGTACCACCTGTTATCTTACAATAGGTCACCTGAACCGAACCACTATATATCTATATGTTGACTCCATATTTACTGTTTTATTATTGATTGTCTTATTTATTGTTCATTAATTACACATCTTTACATACTTGATTATAATCTTGCACGAGACTAATTTGTACATTATCACACACATCTACTGCGAGATGTGCTTCTATTCATACCAAATTTTGTATATTATTTTCTATAATATTAATTGTCTTGACACACATGTCATTTTCGAAAGAAATTCCACTTCTTATTTTCTCCAATTAGAGGCATTCCTTGACAGTCTCTAAGCAAAATTGGGATATATACCTCCAGGACAGAGAGTCAGGTAAAAATTTGGGAATAAGGTATATGTTAACTCTATGGGCAAATTTCCAAAATTGGACATCCTTGTTGCCAAAGAGTTTTAGACTCCAAACTGAGATCATTCAATATGTCGAAGCCCAAATTCTAGGCATGAATAAAAACTTATATAGATTCCTCGCGATAATTCGGATGGCAGAACTTCAGTGATTGAGTTTTTTCAAAAAATATTGTCGTTAACCTGATACACATAATATATGCAGATAGCATTATTCCGAGTTTGCATGACAACCCAAGTCATAAAGACAAGTGTTTAGAACGATTCTAAGGCCCCCAAAAAAAAAAATTAGTTCATATATATCATTAACCAACCCACTTTGGGGATATTATACAGCTCCAGGGTACCCCTCTCAAGCATGCTTATAGTAGCTATCACAAAACTTATGCAATCCAGCACATTTTGGTTGAAAATCAACATCCATCTTCAAGGTACTATGCAGGTGGATATTCTAACATCATAGATAGTGACAAACCCACCTCTCAATTCTCAGGCACATGATTTTATGAATATATACAGATAATAGAAATAAGAAACAGTGGACTACACGTCGTTGCTTTCAACTTGTAACTAGGCTTTATCTCTTTGTTTATACTTGATCTTACAGCATGTGGGAAAAGTATAGAAAAGGGTATCACTTTGCAAATTTTGAAACAAGAAATAAGGATTTTAATATTTCACCTTGATCTTGCTATGGTCAGGATGACATAAATACATGTTGAAAGTCACCATTTTATCTTTGTATAAACTTGGACGTTAATTTTACATTGGTTCCATGCATGATGGCAATGTTAGCTAGAGACGCTAGCCATAGGCCGGGGCAAGTAATTCGAACCTAACTTTCACCCCCCAAAATACCCAGCATGTGGGTAGATTTTCAGTATTCAAATTGGATTTAAATTAGAATAATACTTTGACCGAGATCTCAGAATTTTGACGCACAAATCGAAACTCAATTTTGTATAACCTCAAAATCAAATCTAAATTGAACCCACTCAAGTTGATTTATAATTGATCTCAAGTTGACATCTCAACCTCTCCAACTCATACATCATTGTACCACTTCTCACCGTGTCCTTCCGACTTCTCTCCACATTTGTGAAAGAATTTTACTGTAACTTTGTTGTTTCACTATCAAAGGTCATTATGCAGAGTTTTTTTTTTCACAAGAATACATTGTTGTACCACTTCTCACTATGGTTTTATATTAAAAAGGAGGATTAAATGTGAAAATCACGATAATTGAGACATTGATTCATTCCTTTCTTCTTCCCTAGCCCTTGTCTGTCATATAAACATAAAAGCCCCAGAAATTGACCGAGTTACAGTACTATAATAGCTCAATCACAAACAATTAAATTCACTTTAGTTCTCAGCCTCTCATTTATGCGAGGAACAATCAAGCTATACCATGTTTTCCATTATTCCAAAAGCTGCCATATTGGTAATTGTTTAAAGCCTCTGAAAGTGTATACTGTCCAACCATGGTGAATAGATTCTAACTCCTCTCCGTACTGTTTTTGCTACAAACAAATCATGCTAGGAGCCAAAAAAAAAGAACTGTGTACCAAATACCAATGGTCCAAATTCTCATGGACTTTCAACAACCTATGAGAGAGAGAGAGAGAGAGTTCCTCGCATGGCAAGTGGATTATCACCGATCACCATCAATTCCACATCACTATTTTGCAATCCAATCCACTTGGTAGCACAGAAACTTACAATATAAGCAGCAACTCGCGTAAAGTTTACTTGTTTATTCTTTCACTTTATTTATTTTCCTGATGGTCAATTACAAATAAATCAAGGAACGATCTATGACCAAAAATCATCTGGAGTTACAGTGGTAAAATGCTATTTGCTACCATATACTATCGTTTTAGCTGTACGTCCACAACCAATTGAAAGGAATTATGTCTTTTCTTTAGTTGTCAGAATCATGCTAATCACACATTATCTAAACTCATAATTACACTATAGGACTCAAAAAATCACAAATTACAAATCACTCACATAAGTTAAATACAAATTGTATACAATAATACGATTCTAATTCAAGACGTGTAAATTTATATCTCGGACAAACAAATAGTGGTGTATGACAGCTATGTAAAATTAAAATAGGGTTTAAGAATTGTGAACAGTAAAATAAATTGTGAACATAATTTTTTACTAGGAATCACTCCTAAAGTTCCTTAGACATCACACTTTGGATTAGAAATGTATCACACAAATCAAGAAGCATATAATTATTGAAATAGATCTCCCTTCTTTTATTAAAAGAAAAATGTTGCATAATTCAAATGAAACCCAAAAGTTAAAACCTAAATGCATATCATCCCTTAAATTAGTGTAGAATAAGTGTCTCTCACTGAAAAAATTGATAGAACCACTCATCCAATGAATGATATGCATTTAGATTGTAATTTTTGTATTTCATTTAAGTTTTGTAGCATTGCTCTTATTAAAAATATCACTAATTATATTGAGTTCTAAGTACTCCTAATCTTAAAAAATCAGGATTTTAAAGTCTCTAGTACTCCAAAAATTTTAGATCACTTAAAATAGAAAACTGAAACAAACTAGAACTATGACTTTAAATTTTAGAATATTCAACCCCCTATAATTTGACCACAAAATACGACCCAAGGCTGAATTATGAGTGATTTCAAGAATTTTAGAAATTAAAAAAATACCCTTAATTCTAAAAAAAATAATAAAATGACATATAAAATATTAATACAAATTAACTCAAAACACGATAATGCAAGGTTCAATACGAATATGTCTTGATAGTAAGTCAATTTCATTATTTTTCACATCTTTATATTTGTATTTTCTTTAGTATCACATGGATTGCATCAAATAGCCTTACCTTAAACTTTTTTTTTTTTATTCAAGCTAAAAAAAAAAAACTCAAGGATTGCATAGAATATGTCAAAATGATTGTAGATTTCAATCAACAATTTCAAGACTTCAAGAGGAGATTAATTCCCAATGGATAGTTATATCTCCAGCTAAGTAAATTTCCTACTGTGATGGGGTCCAGAAACAGAATACCATTTAACAGGTCAGTGTGCGGACTTTGATGAGATATTCCCGCATCTTAACAAAAGTAGGAAGCAAGACTGAACGGGAAAGTAACAAAAGTTTAGGCTTTAGGTGTTTATTTCTTCACACCGGTGCCTGTTTAAATCCATATGCTGAAGTTTTAGCAGCAGATCATCCGAACTCAAGAACATCTTGTTGGCTGCTTTTGAGATTGTGTGTGCAATTTCTCTCGCCGCTTCAATTTTCCTGAGCGTGATAAATGCTGGGTTGTTGGCAATAGCTTGGCCGATCAGCTGGGGCACTCTTAGCCTCACCCTGTGCCCTGATTACAGCGCTTCGCTTGTCTTGCTCAGCCTTTTCCACAACAAACTTGGCCCTCTCAGCAGGTGGCTAGTAATGGACACATCATCGAGCGCAATGTTGAAGTTCGCAGCCCTTTCGGTCAGTATTTTCTGTATGAAAATAGTTATTTGGACCTAAAAATCTAACATAATTTGTTAATTTAATGACGTAGTTTCATTGAAATTATTAAATAAACATCAAATTCCAATGTTTGATCAAAATCATAATAAATTAAATTAACAAATCAAATTAATAAATTAAATTCCAATAGCATTACGCTCTCCATATTTCCCTACTAACATTCTCTCTCTGAGTAATGAGCTGGCTTGCATTGTACTGTGCAACCACAGCTTTCAAAGTCTCGTGAATAATTGAAGGCAGTACTCTTTCGTTATAGTTCTCACCAAGAGTCCAATAAATTGTAGGTAATTGGTCTGGTACAGGACGAGTCAGAACTCGAAGACCAATTTTTACCATCTGGAGATCACGACTACCCGAAGTGCTCTCCACCAGATGGGGTCGTGCACGAACATCATATATGATTGGTCTTTCAAACCATGGGATTATCAGGTGCGTTCCTTCAGGATAAACCTTATCTTTGACGCCAATAATACGGTTGAAGACAATAGCTCGATTTCCTCCTTCAACATTGTAGAGACTGTTAGCAGCTCCGTATATGCCAAGCCCAGCAATTGCTCCAAACTTGATCAAAGCAGAAGCCGCACCACCACCCGGAACATTTGGAATCTTCACGTTCTTGAAATTCATTTTCCCTAATTTCTGATGGAATCCGACCACCAGCGAGACGAAATGAGAGAGACAGAGAGCCTTACCTTAAACTTACAACTTAAGTTTATGTGAACTTAAGAGGTTGGGATGCATTGCTTGCTTCCAATTTTCCATGGTATTTTTGCAGTTGCAGATGTGAATCCACCTTAAGTGGAGTCTGACCGATCTCAAAAGCACAGAAAACATAGCCAATGGGGTCCCCTAGTGCGCAATCTTCGCTGTAAAGAGCCTGGAAACAACTATAGTTTTCAAAGTCCAAAAGGGCTTGCCGAGTCAGCCGCCTCTTCTCGCACGTCTACATTACCTCACAAAAACCTCGTTCCAACATTTACCTTACTCGTCATAATTTCTATATAAGAATGAAGGAGTAAGATGATAAGCACCGAGAAAATATTCATTACAAGGCTGATACCATGTGACAAGATGATGTGTATCACCAACTAATAATATTAAAATAAATAAGTATATGAACTCTACAAAAATCAATAATTAACATGTCGTGTAAGTNGCATAGAATATGTCAAAATGATTGTAGATTTCAATCAACAATTTCAAGACTTCAAGAGGAGATTAATTCCCAATGGATAGTTATATCTCCAGCTAAGTAAATTTCCTACTGTGATGGGGTCCAGAAACAGAATACCATTTAACAGGTCAGTGTGCGGACTTTGATGAGATATTCCCGCATCTTAACAAAAGTAGGAAGCAAGACTGAACGGGAAAGTAACAAAAGTTTAGGCTTTAGGTGTTTATTTCTTCACACCGGTGCCTGTTTAAATCCATATGCTGAAGTTTTAGCAGCAGATCATCCGAACTCAAGAACATCTTGTTGGCTGCTTTTGAGATTGTGTGTGCAATTTCTCTCGCCGCTTCAATTTTCCTGAGCGTGATAAATGCTGGGTTGTTGGCAATAGCTTGGCCGATCAGCTGGGGCACTCTTAGCCTCACCCTGTGCCCTGATTACAGCGCTTCGCTTGTCTTGCTCAGCCTTTTCCACAACAAACTTGGCCCTCTCAGCAGGTGGCTAGTAATGGACACATCATCGAGCGCAATGTTGAAGTTCGCAGCCCTTTCGGTCAGTATTTTCTGTATGAAAATAGTTATTTGGACCTAAAAATCTAACATAATTTGTTAATTTAATGACGTAGTTTCATTGAAATTATTAAATAAACATCAAATTCCAATGTTTGATCAAAATCACAGTTATTTCAAAATCATAATAAATTAAATTAACAAATCAAATTAATAAATTAAATTCCAATAGCATTACGCTCTCCATATTTCCCTACTAACATTCTCTCTCTGAGTAATGAGCTGGCTTGCATTGTACTGTGCAACCACAGCTTTCAAAGTCTCGTGAATAATTGAAGGCAGTACTCTTTCGTTATAGTTCTCACCAAGAGTCCAATAAATTGTAGGTAATTGGTCTGGTACAGGACGAGTCAGAACTCGAAGACCAATTTTTACCATCTGGAGATCACGACTACCCGAAGTGCTCTCCACCAGATGGGGTCGTGCACGAACATCATATATGATTGGTCTTTCAAACCATGGGATTATCAGGTGCGTTCCTTCAGGATAAACCTTATCTTTGACGCCAATAATACGGTTGAAGACAATAGCTCGATTTCCTCCTTCAACATTGTAGAGACTGTTAGCAGCTCCGTATATGCCAAGCCCAGCAATTGCTCCAAACTTGATCAAAGCAGAAGCCGCACCACCACCCGGAACATTTGGAATCTTCACGTTCTTGAAATTCATTTTCCCTAATTTCTGATGGAATCCGACCACCAGCGAGACGAAATGAGAGAGACAGAGAGCCTTACCTTAAACTTACAACTTAAGTTTATGTGAACTTAAGAGGTTGGGATGCATTGCTTGCTTCCAATTTTCCATGGTATTTTTGCAGTTGCAGATGTGAATCCACCTTAAGTGGAGTCTGACCGATCTCAAAAGCACAGAAAACATAGCCAATGGGGTCCCCTAGTGCGCAATCTTCGCTGTAAAGAGCCTGGAAACAACTATAGTTTTCAAAGTCCAAAAGGGCTTGCCGAGTCAGCCGCCTCTTCTCGCACGTCTACATTACCTCACAAAAACCTCGTTCCAACATTTACCTTACTCGTCATAATTTCTATATAAGAATGAAGGAGTAAGATGATAAGCACCGAGAAAATATTCATTACAAGGCTGATACCATGTGACAAGATGATGTGTATCACCAACTAATAATATTAAAATAAATAAGTATATGAACTCTACAAAAATCAATAATTAACATGTCGTGTAAGTAAATAACTTTTCATCCTCCTGTCATATAAGTCTAAATGAGATTCACTCACTTTTTTCATTTGAGATTTTATTATTGATAAGTGATATCATATCATCAATAGTGACATAATATCACCGTTACATTCAATATTTACTCGATAAGCACCACATTCCCTGTCGTCTTTACATCTACCTTACTCATCATAATTTCTGTATAAGACTGAAGCAGTAAGCTGATAAGCGCCACATTCCCTCTCATCATTACATCTACCTCACTCATCATAATTTCTATATAAGAATGAAGCAGTAAGCTGATAAGCACCACATTCCCTCTCTTCTTTACATCTACCTTACTCATCAAAATTTCTAAATAAGAATGAAGCAGTAAGCTGACAAGCACCACATTCCCTCTCATCTTAACACTTCTATGTGCCCAAAAATATCAACATGCAGTTGTTTGATAAAGAAACTCAAGGTCCTCAACCACATATAGAGCTTGTGATCGATGCAAATTCATCCATGTCAATCATCCCTTCACAAACACATAGCATTTCGATCATGATCAAGGGTCTAACTTTGCCAATCTTAACAAGATTTCATGCTGGTTACTTCAGAATAAGCCTCTCTCTCTGCAGCCAGGCCTTACTATGGAAGACCCTCGGCGAGCCATCGGATGATGCTCATGCATTCCGGCGAATCCTGCGAATGCTACCCTCTACTGCTTTTGTTCTTCTCTGGTCACTAGCCTTATTCACATTGGTCTCTCTCTCTCTTCTCTATATTCTAAGGTGTTTGTTACACTTTGACATGGTGAAAAATGAGTTCTTCCACCATGTGGGTGTAAACTACTTATTTGCTCCATGGATTTCATGGCTTCTCTTGCTTCAATCTGCACCATTTTTCACTCCAAAAACCATGTATTATTTGGTTCTTTGGTGGCTATTCGTTGCCCCCATAATCGTTCTTGATGTTAAAATCTATGGCCAATGGTTCATCAAAGGGAAGAGGTTTTTATCAACAGTGGCTAACCCAACAAGTCAACTGTCAGTAATTGGTAACCTTGTTGGGGCATGGGCAGCAGCTAGAATGGGTTGGAGAGAGAGTGCAATTTGTTTGTTCTCATTGGGAATGGCGCATTATTTAGTACTGTTTGTCACTCTTTATCAGAGATTATCGGAAAATGAAGGCCTTCCGGCAATGCTCCGGCCAGTTTTCTTTTTGTTCTTTGCTGCTCCGAGCATGGCAAGTTTAGCATGGGACTCCATCACTGGAAGTTTTGATAATTCATCGAAGATGCTCTTCTTTCTCTCACTGTTCCTCTTCCTCTCCCTGGTAAGAACTTACCCATCAAATCTCTATCTCTCTCGTTCAACTTTTTTTTTTTTTTTGATAGAAACGGTAGAAAATCAATTAAATAAGAATATCGGAGAGGAGGAGGGGCACAATGAAAGACGGTGCCTCCTCCTCCCATACAGCCACACAATCAACATTAATAGCATGTCTAATTAGCTTATAAGCTATCTTTTTTCTTATTCTTCTGACTGTAGATACAGAATATTATTGAAAAGAACATAAACTAAATCTGATATCCGCTAAAACAGAGCTCAATAGATCAAAATCATTGTCTACATCTGTGAGCGTCTTCATCACGTTAGTAGAATCCCTTTTCAAGACAATTCCATCACAGCCTCGTTGCACCGCAAAACAGAGCCCAATGGTTCAACTTAAGCTAGCTGTAGTTTTCAACAAAAAATCTCTGGATAGCGACCATCTTGACTACAAGTATTCAAGTTGGACTTGTGCTTTTGGTCTGGTCCAAGTCACTTCCATGGTGCGAAAAGACATATAGAAATGTAGCTGTGGAAATCATTCATGTATCATCGCCGTAGACAACCCAATACACTGCCAGCTAGAACCGTCGGTGAGTGCAAATAACCTGCGTTTAGGAATTTATGCAAGATGCCAAACTTATATCCGGATTCAAATCACATTAAATATTTTTTTAATGATTTTTATTTATTTTTTTATTTATGACAAGTGATTTACCATTAAAAAATATTGATGAGAAATATATTAGAAATCTCCGATCATTTGCTATAGTGTATGGAAACGTTATCTTGAATCTTGACATCTTTAATTTGGGCAAGTCTACACTATAAAAACTTACCGAAATTTATAATTTTTTTAAAATTAAGTTACAAAATTTTATGAAAGTTCCAACAAAATAGAACTGTTGGGTTCCACAGTAACATTTCGGATCTAGTCATAAATATTGATCTTTTCTTCCTTATTACATTAAGAAAAAAAAAAAAAATTATGATTTTTGGGCTCTTTTGACATCCCTTCTATTATAAAAAATATCACTAACACTCCTTCTAATTTATATTTAAACATCACTAATACTCTATCATTAAACTACTATTTCTAACAACAAAATTTATCTAAAATACCAAAAATGCCCTTACATAAATCTTAAGTAATTTTTCTACATAATTTTTAATTGGCTCACATAAAATTTTAATTAGTCCAAATTTTTATACGTAAAAAATATAATTTTTAATCGACTCAAATTTTAATATATAAAAAAATATATTTTAATTAGTTTGAATCGAATTTTAATCGGCTCAAATTTAATACGTAAAAAAAAATTAGAAAACAGAAGAATCTCATTAAAAATATACTTATCTAGAACGAGTGTGGATAAAGTTTGTCCTCAAATATATTATGGGCAATTAGTAAAATTGTTTTCTAGTTAATATTTTTAATTTGACAGGAGTGTCAATAAAGATTCAAAAAATAAAAAATGTATCTTTAAAGATATGATAAATTAGAAGGAATGTAATTGAAATTTTTCCTACTATATATGATACGACCGAGTCCTATTGTATATGTAAAGCACTTTTACTTGTAAAGTTGCATTGTTTTATTTTTCAAAACTTTTTAGTATACTATAAAAAATTTACATTGACTAAAAATGTGGTAAGTTTCAGTACGGTATTAACAAAGCATTATCCTTTGAATCTTGGCATTATCTAAGGAAAACACATGTCATGAATCTCATGATCTCCTCTCTGGGAATATTGAAGACGGAATAATTCTTGTATACCTTAGAGATGCTTTGTTGTGTACGTTGGAAATTTTGGAGGCTAATTTTGGGTCCCTTTTTATCATCCAAGCAACTACTAGTAGATTATCTCTTCAACAAGGCATGGTACTAACCTTTTCTTAATTGGTATAAACAGGTGTTTAGGCCTGCTTTATTCAAGAAATCCATGAGAAAGTTCAACGTAGTATGGTGGGCTTATTCATTCCCCTTAACAGTTCTTGCACTGGCGTCAACAGAGTATGCTCAGGAGGTGAAGAGCGGCGTTGCTCACGGGCTGATGCTCGTCCTCTCGACGCTTTCCGTGGTGGTGTCACTGTTTCTAATGGTGTTCACTGCCCTAAATACTAATTGCCTCTTACCAAGTGATGATCCCATGCTAAGTCCTGGTGGTAGTTCTCCAGTACCATGACTGCAGGGTTAATACTCATTAATCTCCTCTTAATTAAGTATAGCGAGTTGAGCTGTAGCACAATTGGTTAAGTGCTAACACGATATTTAAAGGATGAGAGGGAAAAAAATATTTCATTCTCGACCCCACTAGAAATTTTGGGCGGTCTTCAAAATCAAATTTTGATGTATTTATTATTTGAATTAATGTGTATTCATATATATTGTATGAAAAAAATACAAGCATATCTCTGATTCCCTTTTACTTATCATTCTCTTTTTATTTTTTTTGTTACATAATACTTTTTCGAAAAGTAAACTGAATTTGTATAGGCCTTGAACTAATACTTCTACCTGAACCCTTTTTCCTGCTAATTAAGAGCAGAGCATGAAACAAATCATAGTAAGGGAGAAATAGGATAAGCAGGCACCAAACATTGAAATAAATGATATCTAAAGGTGCTAATGGGGGTGGATGGTTGTTTGAAGGGAAGAATGAGACTTTCCCCTTTTTGGCCAACATCACAAATCATGGTTACATTATTTGAACCTTGAGGTGCACCGATCTCCTTCAGAATGTGACGAACTGTTCAGAAGGCTGGGTGACCAAGGAGTTGGTGCCATAAATCAGTATTGTTATGAAGGAGGACGATTTTATTTGCAACTTCCAAAAATTGAAGATGATAAAGCTCATTACTACTCGGACCCTATGAAATACGGATACTTCGTCAAGGTCGATGTATTTGTATTGGATATGATACTCGTCAAATACTCGATATATATATATATATGGATACTTCTATATATATGCATAGTAATGTGTGTAACTTTTTATTTTAATCTTTACCCCTTCCTTTCGATTTCACATACAATGCAACAACAATCCATAATATTTTAAAGACACATGGATGTTTTTCATGTATTATTTCCTATAACATATCCAAAGAGTATAAATGGGTTGATCACACTATAAGCTTAACTACAAACACTTCTGAGCAAACAATCTAGTTAAATATTAGTTCTTATTCTTTTAATTAATCATGTTGACTTTGTAGATGTACTATAGTGAGACAATATGTGATTTTTTGAAAATAATAGATTATTAATGGTGTTTATTATTGTTAAAGAAACACTAAAAATTATAGCTATCAAGTCATTATATTATTGTACAAATATAGGAAATATATTTTCAAAAATGTATCTTAACCGTAGCCGTATTATATTTTTTAAAGGTTTTACTGTATCGTATGGTACCCACTGCGTTTTCTCCTTATGATGTTCTTAACACAAAAATGCGAAGTGTGAAACTCAAACCAACAATTATTGTCGGTGGATAATTTATGGAGGGAAAAAAGATTGTGTTTGATGGGACACTTTTGAGAAAAAATAGAGATATGACACGTGTCCTTGGCATCGAGGACAACTCCAGCACTCTGCTGAAGACACGTGTCATTGACACCAAGGACACCTTCAGCTTTCTGGTGAAGACACATGTCCTCGGCATCGAGGACGCCATCACTCTGGTCAAGACACGTGTTCTCGACACCGAAGACACCTTTAGCTCTCTGGTGAATACGCATGTCCTCAACGTCGAGGACACGTCCATCACTCTGGTCAATACATTGTCCCTTGCATGGTTAGATCCCGAGGACTGTACTTTGGACACGTCACCACAACTCCAAGGCGGATTATTGATGATTACAGCCTGTTGAAACTAGAGTCAGACAATGAATCATTGGCTTACCTTCCCAACGAAATTAGAATGGCAGAAGGAACAAGACCAACAACCAAAGGGAGTTAAAACACGTGGCATGATGTACAGAATTAGGGGCAAATTGACAAGGATACACCTGCTGGCACGCAGTCATCCCAGAAGAAGATTTAATAATCCCTCATAATGATGGGATGTACTTATTGATCAGAGGACCTTGAAGAAAGAATATTGAATGCTCGAGCGTTTGAGCACTTAATGATGAGTTGACCTCCCACATGAGGCAAAATGCATTCTGCCCAATGACTGGTCATCCCACCTGTTGCCTACTAGATGGGCCAATGGGGATCTCTTTTTAAGAAACCCACTTGTTAGCAATGATGGCATTCATGGAAGGTATAAATGGTACTTATAAATGTAAGGTAAAGGTATACAATTCAACTTTGAACACCAACAACAGTGTTTTTTTCCTCCCCTCTCTCACAAGTTAACTTAACTGTTGAAGGGGATATGCCGAAAAATATTCTGGCGTCCTTCTAACCCTCTTTTTGAGTGCTAGGAAGCACCTTTAGCTCACTAAAATTGATCAAATAGCTAGAAATGCAATTCATCACCACTATTTAGATCATCTTTGGCATTCCTTGGTCACGGGACCATCGACTTTCGAGGTAAACACGAGTTTATCAAGAGAGAGAGTTGTCTTCTTATTTATTGTGCGAAAATCACCGCGCACAGTGTTGAGCAGATAGAACATGCAAAACATGCCGCAAAATAAGGAAGAATTATAATAATGAAAAGTGGAGGATCCCATGTAGGTAATTGGAAAACCTGCACCATTTTTGACTTTGACAATAGTGTTGCCATTGTATTCTAAAGGAATATCCAAATTGGATAAATTCGAAGTCAAATGATGAGTTCCCGCCAGAGTCGGGATACAATGTAGCAGAATACGTCAGGTACATGTACTAATTGTAAGCATGAACAGAAGTAGAAAATGAAGTATACTAGAAAGCTTCATAGAAACGATTATGGCAATGTAGAGCACTATGGCCAATGTTGTTACAAACTCGACAAATAGGTCGACGATAAGATAGACTAGAGGTTGCACCCAAAAAATGTCCGTTATTGGAATGGCAACGATTGAGTCCACCTTGATGACCATTGTTAGAATGGCGACCAGTGAGATTGACGAAAATCATTAAGGGATGAGGGAGTTTTGTTGTGTTATGCCAAATGGGCTACTGGAGACTCATCCGAAAGTATTTCATCTTGATTAATGCGAAATTCTTCAGAAAGAAGACGTCCAAGCAAGTCTGCAAGTAGCATAGATTATGCATGAATGGCAATGACAGTGTGAAATAGGCCATATTCCAAAGGCAAACCATCGAGTATGTAGAGTATGGGATCGTTATTAGAGATGGGATGATTGGCACGGCGAGTTGGTGAGCAATTTTATTGGCTCGGTAAAAATACTTGTGAATAGAATTGAGGCCTTTTTTATTGGCCTGCAACTCCATACAAAGTTGGAGAATGCGAGCACAAAAGTGTGTCGCAGTCCATACTGCTTTGGATGTAGGCAGCCCAATTATTTGGACTTGAGCATCTGAGAATAACGTAACCAACCCAAAAGGAGTTGATCTTACCATTGCTATGCGACAAATTCAAGATTAGTTATAGTATTATAGTAATTGTACCTAGGCCTAGCAATCGGGTCGAGTGGAACGGTTTCGTGTCGGGTGAAACGGGTTTATGTTAAAAAAACCTTCCATCCATACCCCATTCGTTTATGTAAACGAGTTCAACTATCATATCCATACACGAATCGTTTATTAGATAGGTTGCCCGATACAACCTGTGTGTCACCTACTAAATAAGGGAATAGATTAGAGTATTTCGAGTCTACACAAAAAATCATCAACTTGTCATATATTATACATGTTTGACCTGTTTATTATATCAATAAATCATGGTTGAACAAAAAATAAAGACAAAATATAAACATTAAATTTGAATGAGTCTGAGAAATGGAAGGTGTGAGATGATGTAGAGGCTAAGAGACATAATTTTTTTTAAAAAAAATTATAGTTTTACTATTAACGGGTTAAAGGAGTTGAAACAAGTTTATAAGTTAAACACGAAATCAATTCATTTATTTCATGGGTCTGTCGAGTTAACCCATTAATCACTCGAACCCGTTAAGACTACACCCAAATCCGTTAAATCTGTGTCGGATTCGTGTCAATTTCACGAGTCGTGTCTAAAATTGTCAGGCCTAATTGTACCATAGGTAATATATGGAGTAGGACTGGGTATGGAGCCATCAACATAATTGGTGAGTTGATGACCACAAAGGTGAGGAAAACTTGATAGATCCAGATTAGTTTGGTAGTAATCATGTGGTTGTGGGCAGCAGAGGAAGGAAATGAAGGTGAAGGGGGAGTAGTGATACTTGAATCGTCAATGTTGGTTGAGGTAGTGCTCAAGGTAAAGACTTTGAGTTTGGATTGTGATATACATGATGACGAATACATATTTTGAATTGATTTTGCCTCTGAGATACATCTTGATAAAAATAAGAGTTGTGAGGAATCTAATCTTTATCTCTAACAAATATGCATATGACTTGTAGGGCTTCAAGTGGATTGAGATCCCTGTCAATATATATATATATATATATATATATATATATATATATATATATATATATATATATATATAT